TCCATAATGCTCTTCTGCGGGTCTGGCATGTAGACGTATCATGTCTCCTTCCCTCATCCGGCATTTCGCCCGTAGCTGCTTTCCCTTACGCCTGTTTATTGTTGTTTCAGGACGCACCTGCTCCGCCTACACGCTGGATCAGTTTGCCAATGAGGCCGTCCTATTAAACCGTGTAGGCCGCCATCCAAATATTATTCGGATGCTGGGGATGGTGAAGCACAGCAGTGAGTCATCACGCTTTCCGTTCTTTCTTTTGCACTCTAATGTGTGGTGTACTGGTGTCGCCTGACTTTCCTATTCCTGTCATAGCGCTTGACTAGTCCTGTATCGCCCTAAGGCGAGGGGTGGTGATCTGCGCGCGATTTGAGCTATTGTGAGAAAGGGTTTGTGCAGTTTAGCCGTTCATCACATTGCTGGAAGCATCTCCACGTGCTTGATATCCAGGCCAACTCGGGGGCGAGTATTTCCTCTCCAAACGGCAGCATCAACAATAAGGGCCAAATCCTCAGGCAGGCCTAAACACCAAGGCGCCTCCCCCCGCACCGCAGATAATGAACTCCCCCAGTCCTGAAACAATCTGCAGCGGCTACGCAGTTCCATTCGAGGCAACTGCAGTGGAACCTGAGCGCGGTGGCGTTCGGCCCCTCCCCCCTTGTCAGGTCATCTGGAGAACAGACCTAGCCGTAAAATACCAGGATATTCGTCTACTTAAGACCACATTAGGAAGACGTCATTAGAACATTTCTCTCAGCCCCTTCGGGTGGACAGTCAGACTTCTTTGAAATGTGATTCCCTCCCCCTGTAGCAGAGGACAATTGAAGGGGATAAGCACTAGTTTATTGGGAATTGTAACCATTTATCGCGGAAGCACAGATCTCACCATGATCTGCCTCATACAGTGTGTTTGCTTCTAGGACTCGAAGGACTGCCTTTGATTGTCCTGGAATACGTCGACGGTCCTAACCTGCTGGATTACCTACGTTCCAAGCTAGCAGATGCCGGATCGACTGTGTTAGGCAGCACCAACTCTCTAATCCAATATGACCTCATTGGACGTCTCTTCCGGGCGGACCTTTTCTCAATCGCCGTGGACGTTGCCAACGCTATGGCTTACCTGACGTCTCTTCGAGTATGTAGACTGGCCTTGCAATAATCCCCTTGTCTTCCAGCAAATAATTAGGACGCAGGTATACCTGTGTTGGTTGCTCTGCCGAAATTTACCGGACCTGTTGGCTCAGTTGCGCTTTGGGGTTTAACTTAGAACTCCACAGACAGTCCTATGGTGACTATTGGGTTGCCCGTTAAGTTGGTGCGCATTTCAATCATTCATACCATTCACAGAATTAATCAATTATGTATTCCGCTTCGTTCGCAACATTTTCCCAACGTTCAGGCAGTTTTCCAATCCTGCGCCTGAAAAAATCTGCAGGATTTGAGGCAGTGAAGTCAGCGATCCAATTTTGGGGATCCGTGTCGTTATTGAAGGATATTCCGGTCAAATTGTTTAGCTTGACCGAAGGAGATAATAATCCGATGGAGCAGTGTCCGGAGAATACGATGGATGCGAAAGAATCTCCCAACCAAGATCTTCAATGACATTTTAATGAAGTTTCGACATGAAGCTTAGCGTTTTCATGCTGCAAAATAGCACCATTTTGACGATTTGGGCGTTTTTGCTGAATTGGTTTATCTAGACAGCGATGCTGTTGGCTGTAAAACTGCATTGATGG